AGTGATGTTCATCGATGCCATGGTGAATGACAAGACAACCCGTTGTCTGATGGATACGGGTGCCTCGCACAACTTTATGTCCATGCAAGAAGCAAAGAGACTTGGGTGTCAAGTCTCGAAGGAAGCAGGCAGTATAAAGACGGTGAATTCAACTGTCAAACCAATTGATGGAGTAGCTCGTGGTGTGGAGCTACACATTGCCACTTGGAATGGAGTACTTGACTTCTCCGTGATCTCGATAGATGACTACGATGTCATGCTAGGAATGAAGTTCATGGACAAGGTAAAGGTATTTCCCATTCCATTTTACAATTCTATGTGCATTGCACAGGGTATAACAATGTCATGCATGGTGCTAATGGTGAGGCAACAAGGCGAGTCGAAACTTTTGTCAGCCATGCAATTTTCCAAGTCTTGGAAGAAGGGCGAACCGATGTTCCTTGCAACTATGAATATGGACATAGTTGAGAAGGAAGTCCAACCAGTACCAAAAGTTGTGAAGGTAGTCTTTAAGGAGTTTGCAGATGTTATGCCCAAGGAGCTGCCCAAAACCTTACCACCTAAGAGAGAGGTGGATCATGCCATTGAGTTGGAGCCGGGTGCTAAATCCCCTGCCAAAGTGCCATACAAGATGACACCTCCTAAGTTGGAGGAATTAAGGAGGCAGTTGAAGCAGTTGCCCCAGTCCTATTCTAGAAAAATAGAGAATGGACACTGAGGTTGTGCATAGACTACTGGGCGCTAAATAAGGTGACCATCAAAAATAAGTATTCAATCCCTTTGATTGCAGATTTGTTTGATCAGTTGGGAGGAGCTAGGTACTTCACCAAGTTTGACCTATGCTCGGGATACTATCAAGTGAGGATCGCACTAGGAGACTAACCGAAGACTGCATATGTGACGAGATATGGGTTTTATGAGTTCTTTATCATGCCATTCGGCCTGACTAACGCCCCTGCAACCTTTTGCACTCTAATGAACAAGGTATTCCAACCTTTCTTGGACAAATTTGTTGTGGTTTACATCGATGATATTGTGGTGTACAACAATTCTCTGGAGGAGCACCTCGAGCATTTGCATAAGGTATTCCAAGTTCTGAGAGAGAACAAGCTATATGTGAAGAATGAGAAGTGCTCATTTGTCCAAGAAGAGATAGAGTTCCTTGGTCACAAGATACAGGGAGGACAATTAGTCACGGAGGAGGGCAAGGTGCGAGCCATTCAAGAGTGGAAACCACTAACCAAGGTACAAGAGTTGCGGTCTTTCCTTGGATTGGTCAACTACTATCGCAGGTTCATCAAGGGATATTCAACCATTGCCGCCTCATTGACGAATTTGTTGAAGAAAAACAAGACGTGGCAGTGGGCGCCCCGATGCCAGCATGCCTTCGATGAGTTGAAGAGGGCACTTATGGAGAAACCAGTGCTGAGACTTCATGATCTTTGCAAACCTTTTGAGGTGCACACTGATGCATCAGATTTTGCTATTGGTGGTGTACTCATGCAGGATGGACACCCGTTGGCTTTCAAGAGTCGGAAGCTCAATGACACGGAGCAGAGTATACCGTTCAAGAGAAGTAGATGACAGCTGTAGTGCATTGCTTGCGGACTTGGAGGCACTACTTATTTAGTTCTCAGTTCATGGTCAATACTGACAATGTTGCCACAAGCTACTTTCAGTCCCAACAAAAGTTGTCACCCAAGCAGGCTAGGTGACAAGACTTCTTGGTGGAGTTCAACTACAAAATGGAGTATAAGTAAGGAAAGACGAATGTCGTTACTAATGCCTTAAGCCGGAAGGCTACACTAGCAGCTGTTGTACAACCCTAAAGTTCCCTCATGCAGAGGATACGAGAAGGCTTGTTACATGATTCCCAAGCCAAAAGTTTGTTGGAGCTTGTTAAAGATAGGAAAGACAAGAAGATTTTGGTTCGATAATGGTGTTGTTTATGCAACATAGAAGAGAATCTATGTTCCAAGGTGGGATAATCTGAGGCGAGAACTACTGAATAAGTGTCACGACTCGAAGTAGGCAAGACATCCGGGCACTCATCGAACTTTAGCATTGATGAATGAAGCATACTATTGGCCACAGATGCGGGAAGATGTAGACTCGTTCGTGCGGACTTGCCTTGTATGCCAACAAGACAAGACATTGCAGAAGCAGCCGGGTGGGTTGCTAGAGCCACTTCTTGTTCCAACCAGACCATGGGAGAGTTTGTCCATGAACTTCATCGTGAGTTTACCCAAGTCAGAAAGGTGTGGCTCAATTTTGGTGGTGGTCGACAAGTTCACCAAGTATGCTACCTTCATCCCCGCACCGGCGGATTGCAACGCGGAGGAAGCTGCACACTTGTTTCTGAAGCATGTGGTGAAGTATTAGGGGATCCTCAAGAGTATTATCAGTGACCGTGACACTCGCTTCACTAGTAAACTATGGACGGAGCTCTTCAGGTTACTTGGCTCACAATTGAACTTCTATAACGGCTTTTACCTACAAACAGATGGTCAGACGGAACGGGTGAATACATTGTTGGAGTTATACTTAAGGCACTATGTGAGTGCTAATCAACGAGATTGGGCAAATTTATTGGATGTTGATCAGTTATCATACAACTTGTAGCGGTCGGAGTCAACAGCATTAAGTTCTTTTGAGTTGGCAACAGAACAACAACTTATGACACTGAACACAATGGTGTCAGGCAACACATGGAGTAGCCCAGTTGCATACAAGAAAGCCAAGAACTGGCAGGTGACTAATGAGCTAGCTCAGGCTCAATTGGAGAAGGTAACTCCAAATATGAAGAAATAGGCGGACATGCATCGGCGAGATGTTGTGTTCCAACTAGGTGATCTGGTCTTTATGAAGCTCAACCTCTCTCAACATAATTCCACTAGAAGAGTACATAAGGCGTTGTTGAGGAGATATGTGGGTCCATTTCCTATCATCCGAACGGTGGGAAGAGTTGTATACTGTGTAGAACCACCACCCCGATTGAAGATTCATCCGGTGTTCCACATGAGCAATCTCAAGCCCTACCATGCCAACCCTTAGGAGCCAAGTCATGGAGAGTCTCAACGAGCTCCACCTTTAATGGTAACTTCATTTGACATGGAGGTCGAGTGCATCATGGCCAAGCGTGAAGTGCGACGCAAAGGTATATCGAGGTACTTTAAGTACTTTGTCAAATGGAAAGGCCTGCCAGAGTTCGATGGTAATTGAGAGAAAAAAAAGTCATTGTGGCAGTACAAGGACATCATCGAAGCATTCGAACAAGAAGGAACTACCTCGGCTACGAGGACATCACCGGATTAGGTGGGGGAGAATGTCATGGCCCACATGTTGAAGGCCCAACCTAGAGAATCCATTTGTGAAGTTCAAGCCCCACAAGAGAAGCTCAAGGCCTAGCCTTTCGGATGGATTATGCTAGACCTCTTAGCCCACATGTCTATATTCAATGTACAGTAGTAGGTAGACTCTGGTTGGTGACAGTAGTAGTAGACTCCAGTTGGTGAGATTGTATCCTAGCCATCTATTGTGGTGGTAGGTGGGATAGGAACTCTATATAAGGAGGATCTCTCATTGTGTATCCTCACCCCACAACTTGTAAAGCATTGAGTAGCAATACAAGCATATATTCTCCCAAACTCTCTTGAGTGTTCTTTAGCATTCTTATCGTTCTTGCTCTTGTTATTGTATTCTTGCTTGGTTCGATCTTATTTTGTAGGGAAGAAGGTTGACTTAGTCTTGTTCGAAAGGCGATCAAGTTTAAGGCCGCAGGGAATGAGGACTCCAAAAAAGTTATCCCGTGACAGTTGTTTGGTACACCTTCAAGACTTGAACTAGCTTGTACTAACTTTTATCCCATGTTTGTGTTACTTGGCACTAATTTTAAGTGGGATGACTAGTAATGGTCCCACCAAAAACACCTCCTTTGGTGGTGTTAGTGAAGCCCGTGTAGAAATGGGGGACAAATAGTCCCCGTTATCGTCGAGCACTGCAACCGTTCCAAACCTCCCATCGTTGCAGTCAAAACAAAAATAACTAGCAGAAATAAGATGCATCTCATATTCTTGTATGTATACCATCATGCTTCTTCGTCAAATTTATGGGAAACAACAAAAATGTGACTAGAAACCTAACTCCAAGAACATTCAAACTCAGATCCATTCAAAACTCAACCCAAAATCCAAAAGTATAAAATTGGACTTCCATTCAAAACTCAAATGATAAGAAAAACCACCATCATAGCCATACGGTTTCGGTTGGCACCAATGGCAGACGACGAAGACTTCATAGCTCGGACTTAGGGTTGTAGGCGACGATGATGGCTTCGTGAGGAAAGGGAGAAAAGGAGAAGACAAGTAAATGAGGAAAATGAGAGAAAATTTTCGAGCAATAAAAATACTTATAATAAGAGGAGAGATGATGGAGAAGAAAGATATGCAAAGAGAGAAGAACAATAAAAAAATAAAATAAAAATTCTGCCCCTGTTATTAAAATTTTAAAAAATAATAAAACTTAGTCCTAGTCCAAGCATACACCAAACGTAGAACAAATGTAATCCAGCTTAAATTAAGCCAAGCCAATCCACGATAGTCCTTAAACATAGTCCATGCTAAAACAATCATGTGTAACAAACGAGGCCGCATGTGGACAAATGGTAGTGGCTCCCCACAATTTTGTCCTCTTTCTGTCATTATTTTGTCCCTTTACATTCGATATAATTAAATTAAGGCAAAAATTCGTTTTTGTTCCTTATAATTTCTCAATTTTATCATTTTGGTCCTTATCGTTTCAATTTGATCAATTTTGTTCCTATAGTTTTTAATTTAAGCAATTCAAGGACAAATTATAATTTCTGTCAAAATAGAGTAACTGCCGTTAGTTGTTAAGGGGCATTTCGGTCCAAAAACAAAGGTAACCAAAACAAACAAAAAAACCAAGAATAAAATAAATAAAAAAGTAACAACAACAAAAACCTAATTACCCGCCCCCTATCATCCTTCCTCACCCCTATCCCGACCACGATCTGTCCCATCAGAGATTCCCTTGGCCATGTCATCATTGACGTATTCCCTCACCGTCGCAGCTTGAACCCGATACATGTTTGGTTCCTCTTGGTTAAAACAAATGGGGCAACGAAGTTTTGGCAAGCCGGTAATCATGGGTTGGGATAGTAGCATGGATGCTGTCGTAATAAATTCTGAGCTTGTGGTTAGGGTTGGCGGCGAGGAGGGTGAGGTCCCAGGTGGCGATGAGCTCAAAACGAGTGTCATTGAGTGTGAAGACGGAGGTGGAGTCGAACCGTAACTCAGAGAGGCGGGGTTGGAAGACGAGCCAAGGGTTGGCGGAGAGGAGGGTGAGGTCCCAGGTGGTGATGAGCTCAAAACAAGTGTCATTGAGTGTGAAGACGGAGGCGGAGTCAACCCGTAACTCAAGGAGGCAGGGTTGGAAGATGAGCCAAGTAATGAAGAAGACAAGGGACATGACAGAGAAGACGACGACACCATCGATGAGGAGGCGACAGAGGAGGGTGGGCATGTTGGGAGCAAGTGGTGTGGACGGTTTGGTTGGCTAAGTCGAACTAGGGGGAGGGCTGGGAGGAGAGCGATGTAGAGATATTTTTGTTATTTTTCTTTTGATTTTTAATTTTTAACTTTTAGTAATTTTGTTTATCTTTTTATTTTTGTCTAGCCTTTGTTTTTGGACTGAAATGCCCTTCCACAACTAACATAAGTTACTTTATTTTGACAAAAATTGGAATTTATCATTAAATTGCTTAAATTAAAAACCCCAAAAAAAAAAAAATTAAAATTAAAACGACAAGAATCAAAGTGATAAAAATGACAAACTACATGTTGTCCAACGCGCATTACTTTTTGGCCTTAAATTAATTAACGCGCGTTGGACAGAGAGAGAGAAACAGAGGAGAATTAGTTGTCGAAGAGGATTCAGAGAGAGTCCGAGGAAACCTCTTTCTCCTTACCAAAGGAGGAGAACGGGCACTTACGGAAAAATATCACATCACATCACATGTTTGCTAAAACACAAACTGAGGTGCCTGTTCTTCTCTCCTTTACTCTGACCCAATCCATTTAATTCCTGGTAGGTTTCCAATAACGTATTCGCTTCCTCTTTCTCCATTTTCCATTTCAAAGCCGCCCATAAATTTGATCGCTTTCATAACTAAGGCTGTGGCCAACTGGGCATCGATTGAAGATTTGATTTACTGGGTTTGTTTTGATTTAAGGGGTTTCGATTGTTTGGACTCTGGGGTTGATTTTCTTTGTCGATATATAGAAGGACATCGAGAAACCTTTGATGGGTATATATGATTTATGATATTCTTTGATAATACCGGTTCAGTTTTTGGATTCGTGGGTGTTGATGGGTTTGTGATTGATCCTTGGAAGCATTGGTTGTTATAGTTGAAGGATTTTTTTTAGTATTTGGTGGTGGGTGTGCTCGGTCGGCTGTATATCTTTGAATGTATCATATTATTACTGAAGAGGAGGATCGGCTTGTGAGCGTACCCGACTCGTTTCTGGGTGTTCTCAGGCCAATTTACCTGCCAATTGAGCAAAAGGCCTTTTCTTTTTGTTTTCCAAGAGATAGATGGGATAAGGAGTTCTTCAAGCTGCAGGGAGGATAATAAATAAATTTGTCGAAATTACGAAGTTTTTGGCTTTGGTAGGTGCTTTTGTTTGGAGAAATTTGAGATGGGTTCTACACAAAGGTCTTCTTTGTCAACAAATGTGGCAGACTTGGTTGATGCTTCACAATCGACCTGCCAAGAGGTCTCATACATTGATAGTATGCCTGTTTATGTTAGGGAGTTGATTGCCGGAGGCGCTGCTGGAGGATTTGCTAAGACTTCCGTTGCACCACTGGAACGGACCAAAATACTCTTGCAGGTGAGGCATCTTTTAAGCTCCATGTTTGTTGATGCAAATTATTTCAGTAGATGGTGAATGGTGGTTTAAGGAATTTTATCATCTTGAATGATTCCACTTGGATATATTGCTCTTCTCATTTTTTTCATGCTAGTTATCTTTTTGTTATATGCTTTCCCCACTCTGCTCGCTCTTTCTCTCAATGTTTCTTTTTGTGTCTGTATTTGCATGTATGCATGGAAATTTATAGACAAGAACAGAGTTCCGTTCTCTCGGAGTGTATCAATCTTTGAAGAAGTTATTTAAGCATGAAGGCGTTCGAGGATTCTACAAGTAAGGGACATTAGCAATTAACTTTGTATCTTCTTTTTTTTAACATTCTGTTTCCGTTGCTGAAAGATTTATTCTTGATCTTCTTGTCTGTGTTTCAGAGGAAATGGAGCTAGTGTTGTTCGAATTGTTCCTTATGCAGCCTTGCATTACATGACGTACGAGCAGTACAGGTGTTGGATCTTGAATAACTATTCTGCTTTAGGATCAGGGCCTCATATTGATCTTTTAGCTGGTGCAGCAGCTGGAGGGACAGCAGTTTTATGCACTTACCCCTTGGACCTAGCTCGCACCAAACTTGCTTATCAGGTCAGCGTCTTGTTTTTATTTTATTAGAACTTCTCGATCTTTTATGCAAAAGTTATAAGTAGGATACAGGGTGACGAAGTTCATATTGACAGTTTCATAATCTGTCATCAACTTTTGAATTGCTTATCTGAAAGCCTATCCTATAATAGTTCAGCATGAAGAGACAATTTAGCCGTGTCCAGCTTTAGAGGAATTTGATATGGGATTTGATGGCTCTTTTCTTCTTTGAAATTGATTTTTGTAATAGTTAATTGATCATCATTAATCTCTTTTGGGTTGAATTTTAACAATCATATGGTTTTACAGGTTGTTAATACCAGAGGAAACTTCAAGTATGGCATGAAAGGTCCCCAGTCTCAAAATGTTTATAAGGGCATAAGGGATGTGCTTTCAAGTGTTTACAGGGAGGGGGGCTTTCGTGGGCTTTATCGAGGTGTAGGTATGTATTTGCTTGCCTAATTTTGATGTGGCAAGACCCTTTGTCATCACATTCATTGTGTTCTTGAAAGGCTGCCATGTTCATTTTATTGATAAGCAACATTCGCAAAGAACATTATGTTTTTAACTGAGGCTCGTATTTCAAAAACCCATGTATCTCATAGCTGATTGTTCTGTTAAAACTTTTACTGATTTGAAGTGCCTTCTGTCCTTATGTGATGCCATATTATGGACAAGGTAATATTAATTTCGAGCTTCCTTTGCTTGATCAGGCCCAACACTCACTGGAATCCTCCCTTATGCTGGTTTAAAGTTCTACATATATGAGGAACTTAAAACGCGTGTTCCTGAAGAGTATGAAAAGTCCATTGTGACACGCCTTTCCTGTGGAGCTTTGGCCGGGTTATTTGGGCAAACTCTCACATACCCCTTGGATGTTGTTAGGAGGCAAATGCAGGTATTGCTTCGTCAATATTTCTTAAAATTTTGAGAAGTTTAATTCTGTTCTCTCTTTTCTGCTCTTTAAAATGTTAGATGTTTGCTTGGAATTAAAATTTGTTGAAATAAAAAGCACATGACACTTTAGGTGAGAAATAGTTAGGGAGTTTTGAAGGAATGGAATGAAAAGGAACGCAGGAAATGAGTCAAGCTTCGGTTTTGGCTTGAAACAAGTGGAAGATTAGGATACTGTTTTTTTTTTTGGGGGTACGTACTGTAATATGAACTTGATACTTTGGAATTGTAGTTTGGATTTTCACTTTAGTTGTGGGATATTACAGGTTGAGAATCTGCAGCCTTCAGGTCAAGGTGGTGTTAGGTACAAGAACACATTGGAGGGTCTTACATATATTGTTCGTAATCAAGGATGGAAAAAGTTGTTTTCGGGCCTAAGCATTAACTATATCAAGGTGATTTCTTATTCTCTATGGCTATATGGATTTAGAGTTTTTGGGGCTTGTTTTTCTTGGTACTGAGAGAATTTTACTGCTGTTCTCAGATAGTTCCCTCTGTGGCACTCGGTTTCACTGCATACGACACGATGAAGGCTTGGCTACACATTCCGCCCCATCAGAAGTCCAGTCAATGACTGCCCTCCATAATCAGAGAGTCGGATTGTGTAAACATACAAACTCCCATCAAAGCGATAGCATCTGATGCTAATACAAATATTGTATCTCTCTCAATTACAATTTACAAGAAATTTCTGCGTACGCTACTCCCTTTAACAATGATGTATTTCTTGTGCAAATGGTCCCTTGACAATCAATTATTCAAACTATAATGAATTCTGGAAAGTGACTCCTCCATTATTGGGATGTTGGCCATGCAGTCTAAATATTTACCACAAAACCTTCCCCACTGAACAAATAACAAGAGAGAACTTAAAAGCAACCACCAATTTTTGTGATATTTTTTTGAAATTAATATCACAGAAAGTGGAGGCTGCTTTCAAGTTATGTGATATTAATAGTTGTTAAGAACTTTACTATTGTTACCCTAATGCAAATGGGCATATAAATTTATGTAGATTATTGCTGAGCTCTGCCAACAAACAAAAAATATAGAAATTAATTAATTTTAGAAAGATTGAAAGGTCAATGAGTGGAGCTCCAATTTCTAGAGTTATGGCAAGAGGCTTGTAGCTCAAGTGATTAAGAGCATTTATCAAAGCAACTGAGGTACTAGGTTCGATTCCCCTTTCTTCCAATATCGCTTGTATTATAAATATAAAAAAAGAAAAAGAAAAAAAGAGCTATAGAATATTAGCCGTGCTACCAATCATACAACCCCCCACCCCAACCTTTAATCTCTCTTCAAGTGCAAATGGGCATAATATTTTTGTGTAGATTAATACCCAGAAGATTGAATTGATTTAAGAAAGACTTCATAAGACACGAGTCAAACTAGTTGCTTCTTCATTCCTTCTCTTTAACTTTCCTTGAAGCTCCCCACCACACCACCAACTTTGATTTTTCAAGCAAACGTATGTAGCCTTGATCAAAATAGGATTTATTTATTAAAATAAACAAATAAAAACTATGCCGCCAGTGTTCTGCTAGTGTATATAAGGAGGGGCACTAGTCTTTAGATATGTGTGATTGTGTACACACTGTCTTGTCTTCAATCTTAAATTAGTTGAGTTGACAGATAAAGAGAGAGCAAGAGGAGGGCTTCTGAAGGTCTTCTGGTTTTTTTGCATTTGCATGTAAGATATTCTTTTTATACTACATTAATTAACATATAATTACCTCATTTAATGTGGGTTGAAGTAGTTTGTAAATGTTGTTAATTTAAGTGTGTTTCCATGATATTAGTTCCTTGGATTAATTAATTTGCATGTAAGAATAAGATAGATCTTAATCTTGAGCATTCTCCAAGTGTTCATGATGCTTGATGGGTCTGAACCGAAAAAATGAATACAGAAAGGTTGAATAAGCTTCAAAATTTGGGTATCCACAGAACCAAAACTTGAAGCGTCTGATCTCATACATTTGAAAATTCAGATTCAACCTCTTCAATGGGTACAAATCGTGAAACACTGTCGAAAAAGACACCCACTGTTTCGCTTCCTGAACCAACCCCATTGTTTTCTCCAAGACCAGTTAGTGAGCTCGAAGCTGCAGCAACTGAAAACTATGCCAGACTTTTGTTCCTCCTTTGTTGCTTGGTGTACAATTAACCCTTCTCTAATTTCTTTGTATTTGTTCACTTAATTGTTTTAGGGAGAAGGCCTTAGTCTTTGCAGCTCTGGAACGAAGTTCAGTGTCCTTCTTCTACATTGAGGAACATGAAACTGCTGTGTCACGGTGGAAACGGGCTAGGACAAGGGCTGCCAAGGTACTTTTGTGATATTACATGAATCAGATTGCTAATTAAGATGTGTTTTATGGAATTCCAAATCCAATCCAAATTAATTAACAGCAAAAGTTTTTTGCGTCTGTAGTTAGGGAAGGGTTGGTGCAAGGATGAGAAGGCTCAGATGCTAGCTTCACAGTACCTTCTTGAAGCTGTGAGTCTATGACTGTTACTTTGCACTTCTAAATTTCTAATCCAATTCTGTTTAGCTGTCTTTCTTGATCTTTTTGCTTTTGTTAGTTTTTCATCCAAAGGCTGAAAGTAAAAGTTCATTTTGCTGTAAACACAAGCCTACAGATCAATCCAAAGCTATATAGGCAAAAAAACAAACATTCTAAAAGCAGTTCATGCATTCATTTTAAGTTGAAATTCATTGCTCAATCTTTTTTCAGATTGATCCACGTCATCGGTTCGGACTCAATTTGCATCTCTATTATGACGTCTGGTCTGATTGCAAGACCATCCAACCTTTCTTCTACTGGTGAGTGCATGTTTGTGTGCCTGAGGAAAAACCTTCTTCCATGATTAGACAGTTTTATATAAGATTAATTAGCTTTTTATTTCTTCTATTACCACTAATAACATCACTAACCTCTTTTCCTCCCCTGGAACTTAAGGTTGGATGTTGGTGATGGTAAAGACGTAAACCTCAAGGATTGCCCAAGAAGTGTTCTAACCCTTCAGTGCATCAAATATCTTGGACCAGTAAGGACACTTACTCCCCTAATTAATCATACTTAACAAACTAATTAATCAAAGTAAATAGGCCTCATGTTTTCTCATTTTCTGTTGCAGAAAGAGAGGGAGTCATATCAAGTGATTGTGGAGAATGGAAAGCTTGTGCACAGGCAAACTGGGATGCTTGTTCACACAGTTGAACTCGGGTCTAAGTGGATTTTTGTGCTGAGCACATCAAGGGCTTTGTATGTTGCGCAAGAAATAAAAGGTGTTTTCCAGCACTCAAGTTTTCTATCTGGAGGGGCTGTAAGTGCAGCTGGAAGATTAGTTGCCCACAATGGGGTTCTTGAGGTACATTATATTTCTGAAATCCTACTGATTTTTTAACTGTTTTGCAGTTCAAATTTTGAGCTAAATCTCCTTTTTGTTGTTGGTTATACATTCCAGGCCATATGGCCATCCAATGGTCACTATCTCCCAACTATACACAATTTCAAGAAACTCATTAGCTTCTTGGAGGAGCAACAAGTAGACCTCACCAATGTCAAGGTAAATAGTAATTAAATTCAGTTCAATATTTACTGTGCACACATTTTTTACCCATCCAATTTTTACAGCAGATGAGTGCAATGGATGACGACGAAGAATCATTCATTGATCCAACTGATCATCAACATGAGAGTATGGGGTCCACATCCAATGCAACCAATAGAGAAGCCCCTGTATATGACTTGTCCAAGCGTTTGTCTTGCAAGTGGTCTACTTAGAGTGGTCCACGTATTGAGTGTGTGAGGGACTACCCAGCAGGGCTAGGATTGCGAACGCTGGAACAAGTCAACTTGTCACCAAAGGTCAAACCGGGCTGCCATGGAAGCAGTAGTCCAAATCCAATCCCTTCACCACGACCAGGCCCAATAGTCAGGCTCATACCAAGGCTTGCCTATACGGGACTCCCTAGCCCAAGGTGGATATTCTAAATGGGGATGAGGTTTGAACTCGGTTACTATGGGACGGATACCCTACCTTGACTAACTAGTCTAATCCATATATTCGTAGCCAATTGCTGAAACACCCTTTTTGTGCACGACTTTTATGTTTTTGGAATTATGTTGTAGATTCTTTAAAGCACGTCCGTCTTTTCACCCTTTTCTTTTTATTTTTCTAGTTTTGTCTCACAAAAAAATTACAAGGATCATATTGTATAACTTTTTAGTTGAAAAATAAAATAAAATAGGATAAGTATAGAATTAATCATATCCGAGCACAAATTCGTCATTTTCCCTTGTTATTTAATTCTTCACTTCCCCATGCATCTGCAATTATGTGCATGGTTTTCAACCTCTCTGCATTTTCTACAGTGGACAAGCTGCACGGACAAGGCTGGTCTCCTTCCTTCCACTGAGGACAAGGCCATTTTGCCTTTTGTGAAAGGGAATTCTTATCATTGTCTCATCCAGTCAACCAACTAGTCTATAATCCATGACCAGGCCAGGACTACCTTGCTTGAAAAATGCACTTTTTTGTGTCACACCTTTAAGTTAAGAATGTCATGCATTTATGTTTCCTGAAATATCTCAGTTTGTTTCAAGCAAATATCTATCTCTGGTGTGGTGTGGTGTGGTGTCATGCCATCGTCAATCACTTGCCTTAGTGGTGGATTCAGGAATTTTTATTCCCAGGGCCAACGTGTAAAAGGTTAAAAAAATTTCTATACAAAATAGACACATCGAAATGAAATGATAATATTCTAATTTATAGTTAATAGATAAAACCATACAAAATACTTATGTTCATTATCAAAGAGAACTGCATCAACTTCAAAAAAATAGACACACATTGCAATAAATCAGAAATATCTTTAAGAATATGATAATAAACCAAAAAATTAGAGCAATCATCTTTGCCTCCCAAGGCGTCTCGTCATGTTCGAAGTAAGAGCTGGCATATATTAGAGTAATCCTGCTCATTTTGAGGCATTTATGTTATTTTGAGGTTCGTCATCGTTTTGATTTTGGGCTTTATCAGCATTTCTTTTGGGCTCTAGCTCTCAAACTTTGGACCCTTCTGAGTATTGTCTTAGGGGGAGTTTATTCAAGCAAATATTTCTTCAATACATAAGAGTTATGTTATTCTTGTAAAACTCTTTGTGAATTGAACATTTAAGGTTTTTTACTTTGATTGACCTTAGATCCCTTCATGCATTCATATCATACATGAAAAAATATTTTATGTAAAAATATTGGCTAAGTATGAAAAATAATTTTTCGGAATAATCATTTTCTCAAGATAATTTTAGGCGGCTTTTATTTCTTACACATCAAATAAGAAAACTTGATTTTATGGGATTTTAGTATGAAGTATATATTGACTTAATGAGCCATCATTTTTAGCCTAAATCGTATTTTGCACCAAAACTGATTTTTCATATTTTGATTTGGTGGGAATTTGATTTTCTAGTATTTTTATTTGAATCCAAATGGGGAGGGTACTTTCTTATTTACATTGAAAACTTAAGTAAATGGAGTAATATAAAAACAAATGAAAGTAAAAGGAAAACAAAAACAAAGGAAGCACTGCACACAAGCAGCACGCGTAGCTTGTTGTGTTGGTGTGTTGCGCCCTCTGGAGCATTTCATCAAGCTGTTTGTGGACAATTTGCAAGGGTCAACATATTCGCCTTCAATGGTGGATTTGGGGCTTGCAGAGATCAATGGACCCCTCTTGTATAGATCTGCCCTTGCTTGCATGGGGGTAATTAAGGCGTTTGCTGTCACTAAGCTTTCAGGACTCTTTGTCATGGGTCCAATTTTGTACTGACGGATATGTTCAAGACTCTTCTTGTGGACCACAAGAGCAAGGTGTGCCAACAACCATGATAAGTATATTTTCATCAATATGGTCTAGTCGAGTAGAAAAAAACCTTTAATTTAGGTTCGAATTTCATGACACCTTAATAGTGTGTGTTTGAGAAACCCCCTTTGGTAGGGTAGAGAGTATTCCACACAGATGTACACAAAAATTGAAGTTATGGCACAAGCTACTTTTGTAAAGGCTGGTGGTTGACTGCAACAGAAGCGGCACAGAATTCATATCCGGGCTATCCAGCGGAGGGCGAGCTAATCCAAGTCCTTTTCTTTTTCTTTCTGTAAACTTGTGTGGTGGACAGAGATGACACCTTCATGCCAAACAGGCTGATTTTAATTGTTGGTCTTGCAAGTTGATCAATTAATGCCTTAAAGACTTCAAGTAGAGCTTGTAAATAGAATTTTTTTTGCTTTTATTCTTTTTTTGGCAGAAAGCTAGTAGTTGGAATTTTGGAGGGCTTTGTTTTGTTCCTGTGGATCGAACTAACCAGAGTTAATGTACATTAAGCTAGCACTAGGGATGTTGACCATGCAGTCTGAATTTTACAACAAAAAATTTCACCCAACGAAACAAAATAGAAAAGCGAGAAAAACATCTGACGAAAATACTTGTGGGGGAGGTTGGATTTATTACGGTCTTTGTTATTTATAGCTCTCCTCTTAAAACCTACGAAAATTTATCACTTAATGAAATCCTTTCAAATATATGACCTTTCAAATACACCTAGATTTGATTCAACTTTTTTATAATCTTAATTGAATACACTCATATTTGAATGAACTTTTTAAAAGTTCATATAAGTCCGAATTGAATACACTCATGCTCCGTTTGGATGAAAGAATTGCAAATTACGTTAGTGCCTTTGGATGAGGGAAATAAACTTGGGATTTTGACAAAACTCAGAATTTCTAAATTGACATGAACCAATTCCGTTGTTTGGATAAAAAAAACATAGAAATTTAGAAATTCCGCATGGAAAAAAACATGGAATTTGGATATCATAAATCTCAAGTTTAAATTCTATATAAAAGTCGTCATTTCTAAAATCCCAAGAGAGATTGAGTTTTTTATAATAAAAAAAAGATAACTTTACAAATAAAGGTTAAATTCCGTGTTTTAAATCAGTCACCCAAACAAGAAACTTTACAAATTCTAGAACTTTAATTTTCGTCATTTTAAATTCCGTCATTTATGAAATCCTTTGTACTTTTAAATTTCCTCATCCAGACGAACAGAATTCTAAAATGACGAAATTTAGATTTCCGTCATTTCAATGTCTGCCAATTAAAGATTTCAGTGTTTAGATCTATATATGTTGAATTTTGTAAATGACATAATTCAAAATTTTAATGTTTGGATAGTTCATGTAAATTGTAAATGACAAAAATTAAATATTTCGATATCTTGGTCTTTCTTCCGCATACACTGTTACCGGAATGTGAGTTCCATCAAATGCCCCAAGACAATTCTAAATAACCAAACCGAAATATATGGTTTAGTGTACGGTTTGCAATATTCAAAATCACGGTTTAACTAAACCAAACCGAAGATATTAAAAAATATTATATATAATATTATTATAAGAAATATATGTATATATAGATATATAATACATAGTTTCAATCTTTTCTTTTTCTTCTCTCTCAATCTCTCCGTTTGTCTTGTCTTTATCAGTCTCTCTCTTTCTTTCTTTTTTCTTCTCATTCTTCTTATATTTGTCTTCACTCCCTCTTCTTCTTTTTTTCATTCTTCTTCTTCTTCTTCTTATCTCTCTTTTCTTTTTCTCCTCCTCTTCTTCTTCTTCTCCATCTCTCCCTCTCTTTTTTTCTTCTTCTCCTCTCCATTGCTTTTATTTCTTCTCTCTCTCTCTCTAAGAGCCAAAAAACTGAAACCAAACCAAACCAAACCAAACCACCAAGTCCGGTTAACTGAAATGGTCGGTTTTCATCAATTATGGTTTGGTTTCGGTTTTCAAAATAGCCAAACTGAAACCTACAGTTCGGTGTCCGGTTGAGCCCAAAACCGAACCAACCCAAACCGAGCATAGCCCTAATTCTAAACATGAAATATAAAACAGTATAAGTATGAAACTTAAGATAACTAATTGAAAAATATATATTTTTATTTATTTTTAGTTATATAAGTACCTCAATCCATGCCATTTGCTTCTTTCGGAAGTCCTAATAGTACTTGACTGGAATTTTACGTATTATTCACTAATTCTCATCATTGAATATAAGACTCTGTTAAATTGCTGACTAATTGTTTCAATTGAAAGGTAATAGTCAAAACCAATGACTCTGTATTTCAAGTTGTGAGCAATTATTTTCAAAAATATTGCTACAGATTCTTCAACTGAAATATTTCTTGTTCGAACCAACCCACCATTTTCTTCTAAAATTCTACGTAACTTTTTTAATGCACTTTTGCTAATTTGGAATTGATCAATACAATCAACTTCTTTTCCATTGTACATATGGTTCAAATAATATCACATTTCTTCATTCCAATCATGTGAAGGCTCTTTAACACGAAAATTATCATAATACCATTGTACTAGCTTAACCATAAAAAGGATCATTGTACAAACAATAATTGTGAAATGAATTTTGGCGCCTTTTTTTTAAAATGAAAAGTTTGGCTTTGTTTTTTTTATGTAAGTTTTGGCACACTAGAAAATATGAAATCCCGCACTATGGAAATTGTGAAATAATGCCTATTTTTGTGGAAATTAAACTCGAAAATTTGATGTCTCTATTTCCATGAGTTTTCTTGCGCGTCATTTAATAAATTTCGCACTTATATTGCAGGAATTGTAAATTTCTCCTCTTAAATTCCTGACTTTTAGCTAAATTCGGAGTTATTTTCCCTCATCCAAATGGAGGGTCAGACTTGTAAAACCTCTTTTAAAGTTTGTATAAATCCAAATTCAATACACCCAAATTTTAAAAAAAAAATTAAACGCTTTATAATCCTAATTGAATACACCCCCCCTTAATTAAGCAGCCTCTAGTTTCTGTCATAGATTAACACAAACCGGTAATTACAGATTGAATAAATCGGTTTAATCGGTTCGGCCGAATTAATGCTCACCCTAGCTCCGATACAAATGTCATATAAGTTTATGCAAATTATGCTAACCCACAATTGTTAATATTATTGCTGAGCTCTGCCGACAAAAATAAATTGATTTAAGAAAGAATACAAAAGTCAACGAGTCAAAGCTCCACGAGTTTAAGTTCTAACAACCCAAAAAAGGCCTAATAATCTGGTCTGAAAATTTACAGTTTCTTCCAGTCTAAAAGCAGGGCCAGTAAACTTCTTCAATCTTTCTCCTTAACTTCCTTGAACCTCCATGTTTGATTTTTCAAACACGTACAGCCACTTGTGATAGTGTATATAAAGAGAGGAACTAGTCAGCCAGTATGTGTGATTTTGTACACTTTCAGAGTCTTCAAACTCTCAAGACTTACAGAGCAATTGGTTGACTTGAGAGAATCAGAGAAACAGTCATGGTGAGGTCCATTAGCTTTGAAAGAAAACAAGGGGAGGTAGACTTGGGAACATGTAGGGAAGAATCAGAAACTCAAAACAGGTCTATTGGGTCTGATAAAATGAGTTTGCAAAGGTCAATAAGCTTCAAAAATTGGGAATTCACAGAACCAAAACTTGAAGCATCTGACCAAACTTCTGAGAAATCTGGTTCAACCTCTTTGGTTGGAAGAAATTGTGAGAAGTTGCAGAT